CCCGCCCATAGCGTCAGGAGAGCTCAAGGAGTCCGGTGCCCCCGCCCCCTTGGATGGGATGAGGGCCAGAGCACCAGGATGTGAAGAATAGGAGAGAAAAAGAGGGAGGGAGAAAGAGGTGTGTGTCGGTGGAGGTGGCGGGTGGCGGGATATTGGGTGAGAGGCAGAGGAGAGGAAGGAAGGGAGGAAACAGAACCAAGAAAAGGAAGGAAAACACAGGAAGAAGAAAAAGATTAAGGGAGAGGATGGGAAGAGAAAAGGTAAATGAATAGAAGAAAGGAAGGCAGGGAGGCATCAGGAAAGGAAATGGGATAAAACAAGGACAGAATTGAACCCAGAGGGTAAATAGAAATTCAATTGGTTCACTCAGCTAACCTTTAAAGAGAAGCTACTCTGTGTCCAGACCCCGTGGGGTGCAAGAGACTGCAGAGGGAAGCTGACAGGTGCTGCCTGGAGAAAGAGAGGACTGGCCCCTCACTTCTCATCACCACAGAGCAGTAGTGAGGCCTGGGGTTCCCAGGCCCACGACATCCCCCATCCAGTGTATTTTTCTCAGCTGAGACCTGGCTAGGACCTGGTGGGGTGGCTGCAGGGGAACTGGGAGCAGTCCAGCATGACAATCCCAGTATCACCTGAGACTACACCCAGCCCTTCTCTCCATCTGGTCCTTCTCTTGCTCAACCCAGCTCCTTCCTGGGCTGCTCTGCTCCTCGGACTGGGGCATCCCAGAGAATGGGATGGGATCTGGCCTAGGCTAGAAATCAATGGTCATCTTCAGGAGCCTGCAGTGAGGGCTTGCTCTTTGCTCTGGAAGAGTGTGAGGAGGAGGCTGGGCCAGGCTCAGGTAACCTGGGAAGAGAAGTAAAGGGGGAGGGAGAGCAAAAAAGGCAACCAAGAGATCCAGAAAGAGAGCTTCAAAGAGGTAGGATGGAGAAAGGAACAAAGTCACAGCAAAGAAAAAGAGGAGGGAGGCAGGACAGAGAGGAAGCTGGGAGCAGGGGGTGAGGTGGGCACAAAAGAAAGAGAAAGGAGAGGAGGGGGCTTGGGCTTGCTCTGCTCCCCACGCAGCTGGTCTCCTTGGAGTCCCCTGCACTTTGACCCCACGTCCCGCCTCCCACACCTCCTCATCCCTCTCCAGGCTGGCTTCCTTATCCCTCTTTCCAGCCTATCAACTCACCCTGGGGGCAGCCATCACTCCATGCGGCTAAATCCAGAAAATGTTTTAGTATTCCCACCCTGCTAGTTCTCTGCAGCATGGAGCTCCCCCTCCTTCTAGAACAATTTCATTCCTTTGTATTCTTGACAACCTGCTCAATCCCTGGTCTCCTCACCCTCCTCTGCCCACCCTTGTCCTGTCTCCTGTGTGGGCCCCTCCTCCTCCACCCAGCCTTCCACCTGGAGGGTCTGCAGGTCCCCTCAGCACTTCGGTTGCCAACATCCAGGGGGCTCCACATTCGTCTCTCCTCTGGTCTCCCACCTCAGGTACCCAAGGGCTTTCTTCACATTTCCAACCGGATGTCTCACAGGCATCAACACTGCAACACGGATAACATTTAATTCGTCTTCTTCTCCCCAAACCTGGAAAGGAGGGCCGGAGGGACAGGGGGAGGGAGGGAAACCCCAGCAGGTCTGATGGAGTCAGGCTGGAGGCTAAGGCATGGGAAGAGCAGAGCAGCACCTGGAAGCCACGGAGCTCATCAAAAGGCTGGGACTGTGCAGTGCCAAGGAAAGGGAAGAAGAGGGGGTCCCACAGACCTGGGTCTGTGCCCAGACCCTGCTTTGGGGTCCCTCAACAGGAACCATGCCAAGCTGACCGTTGCTGCAGTCTCAGTCTTAGACCCCTCCCCTTCTCTCCTCTCTGTGCATCTCATGGGGACTCTCTCCTTCACCCGTCTGGGACAAAGGGTGGGCACAGGGAAGCATTCCAGAGGTCTATCACAGGGAAGAAAGGCAACAGAGTGCCCACTGGGGGCCATGGCAGCAGGAAAGGGTGACCCAGATGTGCAGGGCAGGGCCGCATGCCTCCCCAGGTGTACCGACACCTGGGCTGCCTCTTCCAGATGTGCTCCTCTCTCTTGTCCCACCCCAGAGTTCAGACTGAGGGGCTGAGGAGCTCTGGAAGCCAGGGGGCCCTAAAGAGTACAGGCCTTCCCCCTCCTTCTTTGGGGGGGCATTTGAGGAAATTTGGAGAGGGAGAGAACTCAGAGCTCAGCACTTTCCTCTTTCTGTTTTTCTTCTTGAGGAATTTTTTTCCCTAGCTGCTGATGACTTTACCATTTCTTAAGGGTGGGGGGGAGGAGATTTTGGCTTTTGTCTCCCCCCCCCCATTCTAAGTGTGGGACAAAGTCTTACATTCCACAAGAAGCCAGAGCTTCAGAGTTTCCTAAAGATGAGGTGGCATCTCCTCCCCAGGCCCAGCCTCCCTCCTCCCTCTGGCCCCCGCCCCCAGTCTCCAGCCCTCACTCCTGGCCAGGGAGGTCCAGCCAGGCTGGGAGGAGACCCCAAGCACATTCTTCCTCTCACTGTCATGCTGCTGAAATTAAAGACACATCTTCGGGCTGGGAGTCCGCCAAGCGTTTCAAGTTGAAAAGTGGCAAAGGAGGCCCTGAGCCTCAGTTCTGTGCCACGTGTAAAGGATGCTTACAGACTGTCTGCCTTAGCCCCTGAGGTGAAGGCTGGGAGTTGAGGTGGTGGCCGCCACATACGCAAAGCTCTGATCCCAGGGGTCCCCAATCAGCCTTCAGAACCCCAAGCCCATGCCATAGCAACCCCCAATTCACACCTCAGCAGCTTCCTCTCTTCTTTAAGGTGGGTGTGGAAGAGCCCAGACTGGGAGCACGTGGGAAGGGGCTGGAGGCAGGAGTCATTCTGGTAGGTCCCACCAGCCCTCATACCAAGCCTGTGTCACTCTGCCACCACTCCAAATGTCTGATTCTTGTGAGGGACAGGTCCCTTGTGCCCTATTAGGGAGGAGGGACCCTTGGAACTGACCCACAGTGGGGGACAGGACTTTGGTGGGTCTAGGAACTGCCATCTCAGCACCTCAGCCCCCTAGTCCTGCCCTACAGTCGCTGGCACTAGGCGGGGGCAGATGCTGGGCCACAAGTTGCTGCCACATGGTCGCGATAATTGATGAAGGCCCATCCTCTATTGCCATCTCCAGCCTTGCCTCTCTGGAAACTCTATATTTTCCCTTTAATTATAGCCCCTGCAGTCTCCCTCTGCTGCCCCACCCGCACCGCTCATCCTGGCTGCCCACGGCCGGCCGGCAACGTGGCTCCCTCCCCTTCTGCTCCCTTGGTCTTTTCTTTTTTTTTCCCTTTGCCTTCGTTGCACAAAACCAGCTGGGGGAGGGCGTGGAGAGGGGGCGGGGGGGAGGCAATGGAATCTTGGATGGTTTGGGGGAGGCGGGACTCCCCGCTTCCACGTTTGCAGCTCTGGAGCAGTGAGGGTGGGGGAGCTGCATAGAAGAGAGAGGAGCAACTAGGGCACTTCAAGGAGACCCCCACTGCCACCTCTCAGGCCCACAGACTTTGGCAGGATGAGGGGCTTGGGTAGATTGGGCTTGACATAGAGCACTGTTGGGGGTTAGGACATGAGGGATGAGAAGACGCTGACTTCTAGAGGCATCTTCTCCAAATATACCCTGCTGTTTTGGGGGTCCCCATCCCCTAACAGAGCACAGATGATTTTCTCCTGGTTCCAGGAGCAGAGAGCAATAACCTGGATTTTCAAGGAAGAGGCGAGGCAGTGAAAAACAGACTGTAAAATAAGGTCACTTGACCTTCCATACAATTCCATCGCAAACCTCCAAGGCAAGTTTCACCCAGACACCCAATGATCTTATACACCCCCAACCCTGATTCAGGGACAACCAGAGAAAGGGCTTTGTGCAGCTCCCAGAGGACACCCTCTTGGGCCAAGTAACCTCCACCCAAGTTCCTTCTATCTAATTGTGCTGAGTAGGAGGGTCTCTAATCAGCCCCTAGCTACAGCCATGGTGGACATAAAACCTTTTTCTAAGTCACCAGGTACCACAGACCTCCCCATACAAACTCACTCCTGAACTCTGGGGTGGAAGAGTTTGGGGAATGAACTTGTAGGGAGATTGGACCCCCAATACACACCTCGGAGCCTCTCGCAATCCTCCCCTTCTCTGATACCCCATCACCCAATGCCAAAGCCTCCCTCTGGAAAGACCATGTAATCAAGTTTCTCACCCTGTGCCTGCAGGGCCCCCTACTCCCCTGCCATGGCCTCTTAATCAGGCCTGGGGTTTGGGGAGGAGGGTAATGGAGTCTCTCTTGGAGTTCAAGCATGGCAGAAGAATTGACATTCTCAAAATAAAACTCTCCTTTCCAGTACTCCTCTCTCTAAGTGTCTGAGTCTTTAATTCTATAAAGGACACTCTTAATTGTTCCCCCAAATATTCCTAAGTTCCATACACCAGAAGACACCCCCAAATAAGCACATCTTTTTAATTCCCTAGTTCTCCTGTTTCAGAGAGGTCCCCAACTGACCTCTTTATACCTAATTCTTAGCTCCTGAAAAGGATGTCAGGAAGGTGATGGAGAAATGGCCAGGAGGACCCTCTCCCAATCACCCCCAACCTTTCCACCTTTGGAAGGCTTCCCACTCAGCTGCCCAATTCCACTTCCTCAAGATCGGAGGTCCCAGGAAGAAAGCAGAAGGGGCACCCCTGCCCACTCTTTAGCCCATGCTATACTGAAGACCCAGCAGCACCCCAGCGGTAGTATCTCTGGCCCAGGCTGGGCTGGGGAGGGGGCTGGGGAGGCAGTGCTGCGAAGGGGGGAAACGTGGGGTGGATTCCCTTCCCTTTCCTTCCCTCCCTCCTCTGTACGTTCCAACTCTCAAACTGGGGGCCGGGCCAGGCAGCTCTGATTGGCTGGGGGACGGGTGGCCGGCTCCCCCTCTCCAAGGGGCAGGGTTCCTCCCTGCTCTCCATGGGATAGTATAAAAGGGGCCTTAGCCAGTCGTCGGAGCAGACGGGAGTTTCTCCTCGGGGTCGGAGCAGGAGGCACGCGGAGTGTGAGGCCACGCATGAGCGGACGCTAACCCCCACCCCAGCCGCAAAGAGTCTACATGTCTAGGGTCTAGACATGTTCAGCTTTGTGGACCTCCGGCTCCTGCTCCTTTTAGCGGCCACCGCCCTCCTGACGCACGGCCAAGAGGAAGGCCAAGTCGAGGGCCAAGACGAAGACAGTAAGTTTCAAACTTCTGGGAGTCCAGGGCTACTTGGTATCGCGCTCCTGTGCTTGGTCCTGGGGCTGCGGCTTAAACAGATTCGGGATGCTTCGGAGGCTCCGGGATGGAAGGGAGATGGTGAAGGCTCTTCCTTAACACTGTGGGAGAGCAGGGAGTTCACTCTGCGGCGAGCATAGAGATGAGCACTCCCAGGAGTGGGAGGTGAAGATGGAGCACGGAGTGAGTTGGTACAGGAGACAATCCTGAGCACTCAACAGGAAAAGTGGGGATCTGGGGGCAGGTTGAGGGGAAAGCACGTCGAAGATGGAATGGGGGCACCAAGCTAGGGATTTGGAGCCCAAGATGTAAAAGCGATCAGGAAAGCAGTGGGATGATTCATAAGGAAAGATTGTTTGCCCTCTCTGCAGGCTAGACAGTGAGTGTTCTTGGGGCCGCGGGGGTGCTGGGCTGAGGGGGGAGGGGGCGCAGAGAGTGGGAGGGTTGGAGGATGAGGCAGGGCGGGGTCTCTGCGCCCCCTGCTGATCTTCACTGAGCACTGCGCCTCCCTGTCCAGAGAATTCTGGAACGGGAGCGGGAAAGGGAAGACCTGGTTATTGCCAGGCGTAGACCCCACCTCTAGATCTGGAAAATCGAGCCGGGGATGGGATAGCCCCTGCCTCTAAGAGAAATGACAAGTCCGGTGAAATTAGTCCCGCCCTGTCTCCATTCCCTAGCGTTGCCCGCCACCTAGTGGCTGTTTAAGTAGCTGCTAGCGCGGTGGGCGTGGTTAACTATCAACTGTGAACTTTTTGGTTCTTTGGCTAAGAAGTGACCCAGAGACACTGGCTGGCTTGGAGGGCTGCGACTGGCCCTGAGAGCAGGCTTTTACAATGTTTGGCCTCTGGAGGTTAGGGTGTATTCTACTGATGTATCCTACTTTCAAGGTACATTTCAAATCTCTGGGCGGGACCCTACTCCAATAAGCCCCGCCCCATTCTCGTGGCCCCGCCCACGCCATCCCACCTGCCCTGAAAATGGGGGCGGATTGCGATCTGGACCGCCTTTCTCTCCTCCCACCACTTTCTAGGAGCTTGTCTCGACAGGACCCTCCTCTTCCCTCGCTCCCCCCCTCCACCCCCATGACTTTTTATTTCACTTGGCTTCCGCGCCAACGAGCTGAGGTTAAAGTTGGAAGCAACGGCGGCCTAATGCTTTGTTTAAATTCCTGAGAACTGGAAAGAGTTATTAGCGGTCCTGGCCAGGAGCCTCATCGCTGTCACTGGGACTGATGAGGAGCAGACGAGCTTTTAAGGATTTGAGAAAGGGGAGGAAGGGAGGAAAGGGAAGAAGAAAAATCTAAGTGTGCCTCCTAGACAGAGGGGAAAGGGCAAAGTAGGGTTGGGATCCCTGGAGCCCTGAGGTGGGGGTCTCGGGCGCTAATGACAGCCTACCTCTTCCCCCATTTGCCCCAGTCCCACCAGTCACCTGCGTACAGAACGGCCTCAGGTACCATGACCGGGACGTATGGAAACCTGAGCCCTGCCGGATCTGTGTCTGCGACAATGGCAAAGTGTTGTGCGATGACGTGATCTGTGATGAGAGCAAGAACTGCCCAGGCGTCGAAGCCCCCGAGGGCGAGTGCTGTCCTGTCTGCCCGGAGGGCTCAGGTACCGCTCAGCTCTGGGCCTAGGACGGGAAAGTCTAGGCGCCCCCACGCCCTGAGTCTGGTTAGCAAACCTTGCCTTTGACACTGGTCTCTTCTCATCCTAGAGTCACCTACTGACCGAGAAACCGCAGGAGTCGAGGTAATCCTCTGCCCTCGACTTGTACCACCTGGCTGTGACTCCTTACGGTCCTCCCTTCTCTAAACCAGCCTCTTTTTGTTTCTTATCCCCCAAACCCATAGGGACCCAAGGGAGACACTGGTCCCCGAGGCCCAAGGGTAAGCCTTGCTTTATTTCGGCTGCGGGGGGGCTGCAGGTGGGCGTGGTTCCTGGCCAGCGCTCACCCGGGCCCCGCCCTCTGCCATGCAGGGACCAGCAGGCCCTCCTGGCCGCGATGGCATCCCTGGACAGCCTGGACTTCCCGGACCTCCCGGACCCCCCGGACCTCCCGGACCCCCTGGCCTCGGAGGAGTAAGTGGAGGGTCGAGACATCTATGGAAGGTCTCCTGTGTCCTCTCTCCCTTGTTTTGTTTTGGGTTTTTGACTGATGACATAATTTAGCATTTTGCAATAATTTGAAACTTACACACAAATTGCAAGAATAGTGCAACGAATTCTCATATACCCTTCACAGTTTGTTGCATTTGCTTTATCAGTCTGTTTATGTGTGCCTATCATTTTTTTCCAAACATTTTAAGAATAAGTGGCTGCTATTATACCCCTTTGCTCCTAAATATTTGATATATTTTTCCTAAGAATGGGAGCATTCTCTTAGGTGACCATAGCACAATAATTAGATTTAGGAAATTTAACATTGATCCAATACTGTTATCTAATGTTCGATCCATATTCTAAGTTCACCTATGTCCCAGTAATGTCCTTTATAGAATTTAGATCCAGAATTTAGATCCAGAATCTAGTCCAGAATCTCATCAAGGATCATGAATTGCAGGCAACTGTCAGATCTCTTTGGTTTCCATGAAGATGGAATATTCCTCAGACTTTCTTTGTCTTTCACAATACTGAAAGTTTTTGAAGAGGCCAGTTGTTTACTAGAGGCCAATTATTTTGTAGGCTGTCCCTCAATTTGCTATTACCTGATTAGACTGGATTCAGGTGATGCATTTTTGGTGGGCCCACTTCACAAGCTGTGTTATCAAGTGCTGCTGTCTATCTCATCAGGAAGCACATGATGTCAGCTTTCTCCATTATCCGTAATGTCTTCTGCCTTTCAATTCATTGTCTTGACCCTGATTTCATTCTCTCTTTTTTTTTCCCCTAGAACTTTGCTCCCCAGATGTCTTATGGCTATGATGAGAAATCAGCTGGAGTTTCTGTGCCTGGCCCCATGGTGAGCCACCAGGGGGAGCAGGGATGATGGAAGAGGAGTAGGTGGGAATCCAAAGGAGACAGGCCACTGTTGGCATATGGGGCTAGCATAGATGGCTTGGGAGGTAAAGACAATCAATGAGACCTCAGAGTCCAAAGAGGATGCAGGACAACTGAGTGGTCCCAACAGGCACAAATGGGAGGTCACATGAGTAGGCCATGTTGTGCTTTCCTGCAGAGAGATCACCATGGCCCCTTTTACTTCTCCTTCTCTAGGGTCCCTCTGGTCCTCGTGGTCTCCCTGGCCCCCCTGGTGCACCTGTGAGTATCCAGGAAGTCTTCATATATCTCCTTGGGCTTTGGTCTTTGGGGCAGAAAATTGGGATGGGGGAAGGGAAGGTGCTCAGAGATCTCTTGGTGATATAGGGGAAGATTGGCCTTCCCTTTTAACCTCATACCTCTCTCTTTGTTCTCCAGGGTCCCCAAGGCTTCCAAGGTCCCCCTGGTGAGCCCGGCGAGCCTGGATCTGCAGTAAGCACTCTATACAGATACTCCCTCTACAAACATAGATGTTCCTATTGAAGACCCCATTTGGAGTCTTCCTCAGCACCTCCTTCCAGTCTCAGCCTTCTCTTTCTTTTTCCTTATCTGAAAGATTCTAATCACTTCTCCTATCTTCTCTAGGGTCCTATGGGTCCCCGTGGCCCCCCTGGTCCTCCTGGAAAGAATGGAGATGATGTAAGTAGCCCCGGTGAAAAGATACCATCCGACCCCAACAGCCTCCATGGTTAGGTCACATAATCTCCACTCCAGTGCTTCCACCACCTTTGGGGGTGATGTCCAGAGGAAGGAGGGCAAGTTCTCCCTGATGCACAGGACTACCCTTGAGCGATGACCTTTACCCTTAATGGGACATGTTCCCCCAATTCCCCAACAGGGAGACAGCTCCTTCCCGTACTGGAGCCACCTCAAAGCAATCCCCAACCCATCCCTCAGTGTAAACAGTTGCACAGATGGTGAGATTAAAACGCTGGTCACAGAAATAAACAGAAATTCCCCTGGAGGGACTCAGATTTCACCAAAGAAAGATTTCATAATAAATTTAAACTGAGCTTTAGATTTAAAGATAAGATTCTGGGCCCTTAAACCTGACTTGCAACAATCCCAGGAAGACTGAGACCTTCCCTGCTTTTTCTAGCCCTGGAGGGCATGAACATCCTGATCTTTTCTCTTCCTCTCAGGGAGAAGCTGGAAAACCTGGTCGTCCTGGCGAACGTGGGCCTCCTGGGCCTCAGGTGAGCAGGGGGCTACATACAGTTGGGCACCAGGCTTTGCTGCATCTGGGTTTCACCTGGGAGCTGGGTCCATGTCGGTGCATTCTAATGGCCCTTCCTTGGTTTCCTTTTCTTTTCTCTTCAGGGTGCTCGAGGATTGCCTGGAACAGCTGGCCTTCCTGGAATGAAGGGGCACAGAGTGAGTGCCCTTTGAGTCATCTAACATCGCAAAAGTCCCTAGCATCCTACCTTTCCACCCCTTCCTTAACAATCCTGGTGTGCATCATGGTGGGTGGCAGCTACAAAGTCCCAAGGGACGTACAGATGTAAACATGCAAAAGTGCTTCTCTCCATGATAAAGACGTCCCAATAAAGGGACTGGGTGAGATTGGGCTCATCGGGGTTTAGTTTAGCTCAGAGACAAGGGTGGCTGTGATGACCTTCCAAGGCTCTTTCCCAGACCTGGGTGGGTGTCACGGTGGTTCACCTCTCCACAGGTTCTCATCTTGTTCCTCCTTCCTATCTTAGGGTTTCAGTGGTTTGGATGGTGCCAAGGGAGATGCTGGTGCTCCTGGACCCAAGGTAAGAGGCTGTCTGAATGTCATTGGTCCTCCACCTGTTCCACATGAAGGAATTCCTCACTCTCTTCTCTGCTCTGTAGGGTGAGCCTGGCAGCCCTGGTGAAAATGGAGCTCCTGGTCAGATGGTGAGTGTGCCCGGCTCTAGGAGGAATGAAGGGGGCAGGAAGCAGGGACAAGATGGAGGCCGGGGGAAGGGAATGTCTCCCCTCTCATCTGACTTCTCTTGGTTTGATTGGTAGGGCCCCCGTGGTCTGCCTGGTGAGAGAGGTCGCCCTGGACCCTCTGGCCCTGCTGTAAGTACCTCTGGCTCCTTGGGGGAATCCCTGGACTCCAGAAGGGGTCTCCAGAAGCTTAAGGGACTGGCCAGTGTTCACTGGACTTAACTGAGGCTTCCCTTCTCTTCTGCAGGGTGCTCGTGGAAATGATGGTGCTACTGGTGCTGCTGGTCCCCCGGTGAGTGTGGCCTCTGGACCTCAGTGCCTAGGAGTGGGGAGGGTCTCAGTGTCAGCTCTCAGGGCTGACATGGTGGGAAGGGTGACCTGTGTTGGTCTGAACCCTAGGACTTCTTCTGTCCCAGGGTATGACTTGTGCCTTCTTTCTTACTAACATCCTCGTTTCATTTACAGGGTCCCACTGGTCCCGCTGGTCCTCCTGGCTTCCCTGGTGCTGCCGGTGCTAAGGTGAGACTCTGCCCTCCTCTGGGCATGACATACACCTGTCAAGGCCAAGTATCTCCTTGCTCCCCAAACCAGAGGGACCTAGAATGGCAAGAGAGAAGCTCATCCTCTAACACCTTTGTCCTGGAGTCCCTTTCTCTGATCTTAGAGTCCTGATTCCTGGTCTCCTGCTACTCTCTCCCCTTCCTCCTACCATCCAAAGATAAGGTTGGGTTTCCTAGGTGGCTTCTGACATGTCCTATCTTTTGATCTAGGGTGAAGCTGGTCCCCAAGGAGCCCGAGGTTCTGAAGGTCCCCAGGGTGTGCGTGGTGAGCCCGGCCCCCCTGGACCTGCTGGTGCTGCTGGTCCTGCTGTAAGTGTCTCCTCTTCAGTGTCCCATGTGCCACTTTTCAACCTCAGCATCTCTGCCTGTCACTCACTCTTCTTCCTCTCTGCCACACACAGGGAAACCCTGGTGCTGATGGACAGCCTGGTGCTAAAGGTGCCAACGTAAGTATCTGACAGTTATCCGTCCTGCCTGCCTGTCCTGGAGCCTGCTTTCCACCTGTCTGTGCCCGACGCTCCTGGCCTCAGTGGTCTGTTCTGCCTCCCACAGGGTGCTCCTGGTATTGCTGGTGCCCCTGGCTTCCCTGGTGCCCGAGGCCCCTCTGGACCCCAGGGCCCCAGCGGCCCTCCTGGTCCCAAGGGTAACAGCGTAAGTACAAAACTCTCCCTTCTGGCACCCCATGCCCTAGCTCCAGCGTGGCCCTCGTCTGGAGAGCAGGAAGGTGCAGGCCAGCTGAGCATTCTGGACTCAGCCTGTCTTATCCTCCTTCACAGGGTGAACCCGGTGCTCCCGGCAACAAAGGAGACACTGGTGCCAAGGGAGAGCCTGTAAGTCCCCCTGGTACCCCGCTGCAGCCCAGCCCACCCTGCACTGGGAGTCCCTAGTCTCCTGGGGGAGGCCTGATTTGGCGGCCCAGCCTCAGGGTAGCTCTAGGGCTGACACCAGGATGGGTCCTCAACACAGGCCACCCCCTCCTCTCTGCCCTCTCCAGGGCCCTGCTGGTGTTCAAGGACCCCCTGGCCCTGCTGGGGAAGAAGGAAAGCGAGGAGCCCGAGGTGAACCTGGACCTACTGGCCTGCCTGGACCCCCTGGCGAGCGCGTAAGTGCCCCCTGGCTGCCCCCTCCCTCCTTCTCGGCCACCATCATGTCCCTGAGCTCACTGGTTTCCTCTCCTCACACAGGGTGGACCTGGTAGCCGTGGTTTCCCTGGCGCAGATGGTGTTGCTGGTCCCAAGGTAACATCTCTTTTAGGCTGGGAGGCTGACCCTGCTGCTCCCTGGCAAGACCTTCCTCTTCCAATGTAGTCACCCCACCCCCATCGTTAGTGCTCAGGCTGTGGCTGCAGAAGTGTGTCTCATACTTCACACTGGACCTCCCTTGGACCATCCCACCCCCATTAATGCCTCTCAAATCCTGCCTGAACCAGTTGTCCTCTTCTCCCCAAAAGAAAGAAGCTGGCCCATGGGAAAGGCCCAGACTCGAGACCCTAATTGGTCCTGTGACTTCCCCCCAACTAGGGTCCCGCTGGCGAACGTGGTTCTCCTGGCCCTGCTGGCCCCAAAGGTTCTCCTGGTGAAGCTGGCCGCCCCGGTGAAGCTGGCCTGCCTGGCGCCAAGGTGAGAAGGCAGGCCTCTGAGCATCCTGTGTGGGGTCCGGGACGAAGCGTTCTGGAGTCTTCCCTCCCCGCCCCTCCATCCGCCTCCTCCCCTGCCCTACTCACACCTTCCTGCTTCTCCCCTAGGGTCTGACTGGCAGCCCTGGCAGCCCTGGTCCTGATGGCAAAACTGGACCCCCTGTAAGTATCACTGCCCCTGGGCCCCCTCTCCCTCTCCTATTTGCTTTCCGTCTGTCCTCACCACCACCTGTGTGTCTCTCATCCTCAGGGTCCCGCTGGTCAAGATGGTCGCCCTGGACCCCCAGGACCCCCTGGTGCCCGTGGTCAGGCTGGTGTGATGGGATTCCCTGGACCCAAAGGTGCTGCTGTGAGTATTCAGTGGGCAGTGATGTAAAGCCTGGGTCAGATAGGACTGGGAGGTGAGCGTTCTGGCCTCTGGGCTCAGCGACTTATGTCCCCTTTTGGGCCTCAGTCTTCCTAGCCATAAAATGAGAGACTTCTTCAGGCTTCACCAGCATTGCCCTATCCCTGGGGATGAGTATTGTTGGTGGCCCTCCCCCCATACACGTGCAGATAGGATGGGCCTTTCATAGAATAGGGATCCACAAGTCTTGGTGGACTCTTTGAGGTTCAGAAGGAGATACCAGAGGAGATGAGAGCCCTTTTCAGTGCGGGTCACACTAGGCACATAATAGGAAGAAGAATGGGGAGAGGGTGACAGGGAGAAGGAGCCTGAAAGGGCGTCTTGGAGGAAAGGGCTGGGGATAGGCTAAGGCACCGAGCAAGGGAAACCAGCAAAGGTGTCCCCAGAGGGCCAAAGCTTGTAAATAGAGCCTGCAGAGTCTTGTGAAAAGAAAACCCCTTTAAAAATTCCACTCATAGTAAATTGGAGGGACCCAGGAGGTCCTGTTTTCAGCTCCCTGAAGATGCTCTCCCTTCTTCCACAGGGAGAGCCCGGCAAAGCTGGAGAGCGTGGTGTTCCCGGACCCACTGGCGCTGTTGTAAGTATCTCCTTTTGGTCCCTTTCCCCTTTCTGCCCCTGCCCCTGCCCCTGACACATCCCCCTCCCACAGGAGGGACGCAAGAGGCCACAGCCCCTCAGAAGCGTACCAGCAGTCCCCTGTTGGGTCTGCTCTGTCCCAGGGCCCTGCCACCTGCCCTTCCCCCAGCTGCGCTGGGCCTCCTCCGCTGAGTTCTTCCTTACTCTCCTCCATAGGGTGCTCCTGGCAAAGATGGAGAAGCTGGAGCTCAAGGACCTCCCGGCCCTGCTGTAAGTATCCCTGATGAGCAGACAACCCCTGTCCCTTCTCTCTTTGGCTTTGCTGTGACCACAGCATTCTCTTCACACAGGGTCCCGCTGGAGAGAGAGGTGAACAAGGCCCTGCAGGCTCCCCCGGATTCCAGGTGAGGCCTCATGGCTGTCAGGGTGCTGGGAGAGGGTGGAGGTGCAGAAACACCTCTTTGTTCTCTTCCAGATTCTAAGCCCTCTTTCTTTCCTCCCCATTTCCCACCTGCAGGGTCTCCCTGGTCCCGCTGGTCCTCCTGGTGAAGCAGGCAAACCTGGTGAACAGGTAAGAGGTAGCAATCAGCCAGAAGGGTGGGGACTACAGGACACACAGAGAGACAGGCCACTGCTCCTACCTAATCAGGCAACTATCAGCTAGAGGGATCGAGGTTAGACACCAGGGAGAACTTCCTATCATGAAGGGAGCTACACAAAGGGAAGCAGGTGCTGCAGGCTGCTAGTCTGGGTGGCTTCTTTCAAGACCTGCTATAATATTCTCAACCCTTCTGATATAACTCTTGGTACAAAGTTTGGGGGCAGGGAGGCCTTTGACATATCCTGAGGAGGAATAAAGGGGCTATACAGGATAATCCCAAATCCAAGAGAGGTTTCATCTCTAATCATGGTCCCTGGGGCCAGCCTCCAAGAGGAGGGACAGGAATTGTTCCTAGTGTGGTGGCCGCAGGTAGACTGTGCTCACTGGCTGTTCCTCTCTCTCCCTCAGGGTGTTCCTGGAGACCTTGGTGCCCCCGGCCCCTCTGGAGCAAGAGTAAGTAGATCCTCTCTCACTGTTCCATCATGACACCATGTGCCCTGTCTTTGGAGGAGCCATCACATGCCCTGTCCTTCTCTTTTAGGGCGAGAGAGGTTTCCCTGGCGAGCGTGGTGTGCAGGGTCCCCCTGGTCCTGCTGGTCCCCGTGGGGGCAATGGCGCTCCTGGCAATGATGGTGCTAAGGTGAGGATAGCACCAAAGGGGCTCCAGCAAGCACCCTAGGGACCAGGTTTCTCCCCTTCTCCAATAGGGGATGGCTGGCTATGACCAAAGCCACGGAGATGAGGGAGGGTGGGAGGCAAGACCGGGGAGGGGGGGCCCATGTGCAGCTTCAAGACTGGCCTGTGGATCTTTCTTCTTAGCTGGTACCTGCCTTTGGCCTTTGAACCAAGCCTGGGAGAGGGGTCTTGGGGTGATGACCCATTTCAGGGACTCCAGCTCTTATTCCAGTCTTCTTTGTTGTCATAGGGTGATGCTGGTGCCCCTGGAGCCCCCGGTAGCCAGGGCGCCCCTGGCCTTCAGGGAATGCCTGGTGAACGTGGTGCAGCTGGTCTTCCAGGCCCCAAGGGTGACAGAGTAAGTTCAACCTTCTCCCTTCCCTGAGTCCTTTGTGGCTCCTATTTTTCTCTCTGCTTTCAATTCCTTAGCTTCTCTCCTTCTCCCTGGGATCTTTCCCTCACCTCCTGTATCCTCCCTTCTTTCCCTCTGGCCTCTTTGCTGATGAATCCTCTACCTGTAGTCCAGGCCCTTCTCTCCCCATGAGTTACCATGGTGATGAGAGGTGGAGATGTCTCCTTGATGGAGCCTCCCTATTCATCTTGCTATATAAGACAGGGGCCTTTTAACCCATCCACCTAAACTCCCAGGCAGGCACCTTTTCCAGTGAAAAGATCTTGAGGCCTTGGCACAGGTGGTGGCAAGGCAGAGCTAAGGAGGGTCTCTCAAGTGGTCCCAAACAGAAGCAGAACACTGTAAGTCATCTCCTTGCCCACACTGGAAGTCTCAGGTTTTTACATGTCTTTAGGGTGATGCTGGTCCCAAAGGTGCTGATGGTTCTCCTGGCAAAGATGGCGCCCGTGGTCTGACTGGCCCTATCGGTCCTCCTGGTCCTGCTGGTGCCCCTGGTGACAAGGTGAGGTAGCCCCCTACCTTCCTCCCTAATATACAGCTTCCTCAGCAAGCCTTGGATGTGTGGAGGGTGGTCTTGACAAACCAAGCTGGCAGCCCAGGAAGCTGGAGGGACCAGGACAGAAGGAAGGCTTTCCTGGGGTCACCTGTCTAGAGTAATCAAGGCATATCCCTGACCCCAAGTCTCTTGTCCCTCCCTCTCAGGGTGAAAGTGGTCCCAGCGGCCCTGCCGGTCCCACTGGAGCTCGTGGTGCCCCGGTAAGTACAGAAGACCCAGTTAAGACTTCACTTGGCCTTCTTTCCTTCCCATTGACCTCTGGCCCTGACTTTGTCCCCCACCTCCTGCCCTACCATGCCATCCCATCCCACCTTCCTCCATGTCAGGGCAGCTCTCTGATTTGACTCCTTTGCTTTTAGGGAGATCGTGGTGAGCCTGGTCCCCCCGGCCCTGCTGGCTTTGCCGGACCCCCTGTGAGTACCAAGACCTCCTTCATCTTCCATCACCAATTAGGACCTGGAACCTTGAGTTCCTGAATGGGGACAGGTGTCAGCCTGAGTTAGGGAGAGACATTGTTTCCCATTTTGTGGCCTTTAGTCCCTGGTACCTCCCCAAGCCTGTGGAGCCTCCTGCCTCTCTCCCTCCACTCACCACACTCCCCCTCCTCCAGGGTGCTGATGGTCAGCCTGGTGCTAAAGGCGAACCCGGTGATGCTGGTGCTAAAGGCGATGCTGGCCCCGCTGGCCCTGCTGGCCCTGCTGGACCCCCTGGCCCTGTTGTGAGTAGCGCACTCTCTGGGCTCTGAGATACTGGCAGACTGGGACCTGGGACCAGCTCAGGCTTGACGTCTCTATGCTCTCCTCCAGGGTAACGTTGGTGCTCCTGGACCCAAAGGTGCTCGTGGCAGCGCTGGTCCCCCTGTGAGTATTGCCCACCTCTCTGCTGAGTCTGTCCCCAGATGCTGTGCGGTGGTGACAGCTGGGTCAGGTGAGTTGGCTGTTCTCCCTCTGATTACCCTTGTGTTCTCTTCTGCTAGGGTGCTACTGGTTTCCCTGGTGCTGCTGGACGAGTTGGTCCCCCCGGCCCCTCTGTAAGTCTATGGTGGGAAGTCACTGCTCTAGGTCTGGGGTGGTATGCCTAGGCTGTCAGGAGGACAGTGGACCCCACTGAGGCCTCACTGATTCACTAGAACCCACTGGAGTCTGACAGTCCCTCTTCTCTCTGCCCAGGGTAATGCTGGACCCCCTGGCCCCCCTGGCCCTGCTGGCAAAGAAGGCTCCAAAGGTCCCCGTGGTGAGACTGGCCCTGCTGGACGAACTGGAGAAGTTGGTCCCCCTGGTCCTCCCGGCCCTGCTGGCGAGAAAGGTTCCCCTGGTGCTGATGGGCCTGCTGTAAGTGCCAGCTCAGATCTCTGCAGCTCCAGAGGTGTCCCGAGCTGGGGAGTGGTCCCTGTGCTGTGATAAGGCATCTCACCCCTGTCTGCCTCCCACAGGGCGCTCCTGGCACTCCAGGACCTCAGGGTATTGCTGGACAACGTGGTGTGGTCGGCCTGCCCGGTCAGAGAGGAGAAAGAGGCTTCCCTGGTCTTCCTGGCCCCTCTGTGAGTGTTCCCCTCAACTTTTGGAACCCCAAGAAAAACCATCACAAGATTTGGAGGTCACAGGATAGGGGTGGGGCACCAATGAGGACAGATTCAGTAAAGGTGACCTAGAGTGGGGGCCCTAGGGCCCTTCTTCCCCCATCTCTGGCCTGACTTTTTCTTCTCCCTTAGGGTGAACCCGGCAAACAAGGTCCTTCTGGAGCAAGTGGTGAACGTGGTCCCCCTGGTCCCATGGGCCCCCCTGGATTGGCTGGACCCCCTGGTGAATCTGGACGTGAGGTGAGCCGTCCCCAGCCCTCATGCCAGTACCCTCAACAGACCATTTTGGTCTTGGCCTGAGCCCTGCCTGCTGACTCTTACCTCTCCTCTCCCTGCAGGGAGCTCCTGGTGCCGAGGGCTCTCCTGGACGAGATGGCGCTCCTGGCCCTAAGGTAAGAGGCTACTTCAGGGGTCATGGCCACACCTGCCACTTTCCTACCCAGCCTGGCTCCTTTGGCCAGAGGTGACCCACATCTTCTGATCTTCCGTCCCCAGGGTGACCGTGGTGAGACCGGCCCCGCTGGACCCCCTGGTGCCCCTGGTGCTCCTGGTGCCCCTGGCCCTGTTGGCCCTGCTGGCAAGAGCGGCGATCGTGGTGAGACTGTAAGTAGCTGGGCTCCAGCTCTTTGCTTCTGAGCAGGCCTAGAGACCTGGGGATGGATGTCTGTCTTTTCCCAAGCTGGGGCAGGGGGGAAATCTGGCAAGATGCCAGGGACCTCAGCCTCCCTGCAGAAAAAGCTACAATTCAGCCTCATGGCCCCCTCCCAAAACATCCATCTCCCCCAAGGAGTGGGGTCATTCTGGCATTCCAGGGAGGTTTACCTGAGGGTCTGGAGAGCTGGCAACAGTGGGGAAGGATGTTGGGAAAGGTGGTCAGCCAAGGGGAGATGTCATCCCCAGCCTCAGCCACCCTGGGCCAGGCCCTCATGCTCTGCCTGCTTTCCTCAGGGTCCTTCTGGTCCTGCTGGTCCTGTCGGCCCCGCTGGTGCCCGTGGCCCTGCTGTAAGTGACCTCTGTGCCTCCCCTGCCCTCAGAGCCCTGTGCAGATGTGCAGTGTCACACTCTGTGCCACAGAACTTCCACCTGATAGGCTGTCCCCTCGTCTCTTCTAGGGACCCCAAGGCCCCCGTGGTGACAAGGGTGAGACAGGCGAACAGGGTGAAAGAGGCATAAAGGGTCACCGTGGCTTCTCCGGTCTCCAGGGTCCCCCTGGTCCTCCTGTGAGTATGCTCAACTCCTCCTCAGTCCCCATGCTGTGCTATGTGATGGTGGGGGGGATGCTCTGCCTCAGTTTCCCTTTCTGGATAGTCATTCTGACTCCTCCCTAGTGGAGACTGGAGTTTGAAGATTTATGGACATTTCCAAGTCTCTTCTGAGAGGGCGCCCAGAGAGGGACCGTGGGAGGAGTCTCAGCCTGTGGACCCCCCCCCATGGTTAGATTTCCAGGATGATGAGGAGGCATGGGGCTGCCCCTCACCTACCCAGCTGCAGTTGACCTACACCGGGCCTGAATTGCCTTTGTCTCTGTCCTTCAGGGCTCTCCTGGTGAACAAGGCCCCTCTGGAGCTTCTGGTCCTGCTGGTCCCCGAGTAAGTCAAAACCTCTGATTGATCTCCTCTTCCCAGGGCCCAGGCACAGCCTCGCCACAGGACCCTTTGCCTGGGACCCGAGCATCCCTGAGCTCTCTGGGCAGGGTGTGGGTGAAGGGAAGAAGCGTCCTGAACTAACAGTCTGATCCAGCCTCAGCCTCTCCCTGCCCTGTTTCTTCCTCCCACACAATGTTCCCAGCCATGGGAATGAGCAATGACACATCTGAGGCTGTGGAGCCCAGCCCAGAGCAGTAGGGAGGGTGGTAGATTTCTTCGCTAGAGTTGGGGTTGCCTTGAGCTTGCTGGAAGTCTTCCTCTAACCATTTCCCCCCTCCAGGGTCCCCCTGGCTCTGCTGGTGCTGCTGGCAAAGATGGACTCAACGGTCTCCCAGGCCCCATTGGCCCCCCTGGTCCTCGTGGTCGTACTGGTGATGCTGGTCCTGTTGTACGTAGCCCCTCAGCCCTTCTGCCTCACAGCCCTCCAGTCTTGTGAGCACTCGGACACCGGTAATCCCCACTCTCCTTCTTTGTGCAGGGTCCTGCCGGCCCTCCTGGACCCCCTGGTCCCCCTGGTCCTCCCAGCGGTGGTTTCGACTTCAGTTTCCTGCCCCAGCCACCTCAAGAGAAGGCTCAGGATTCAGGCCGTTACTACCGGGCTGATGATGCCAATGTGGTCCGTGACCGTGACCTCGAGGTGGACACCACTCTCAAGAGCCTGAGCCAGCAGATTGAGAACATCCGGAGCCCCGAAGGCAGCCGCAAGAACCCCGCCCGCACTTGCCGTGACCTCAAGATGTGCCACTCCAACTGGAAGAGCGGTGAGGGCCTGCCCTGGCCACCCCTAGCTCTTCCTGCCATATCAGGGTCCCTATACCGAGAGTCTCATGCCCACACGTGCCCTACCTCCCATATGGTGCTGGCTGCACACCCCCCACTGAGTCCACCTTGCCACCCCACCACAGGAGAGTATTGGATTGACCCCAACCAAGGCTGCAACCTGGACGCCATCAAGGTCTTCTGCAACATGGAGACTGGTGAGACCTGTGTGTACCCCACTCATCCCAGTGTGGCCCAGAAGAACTGGTACATCAGCAAGAACCCCAAGGACAAGAAGCATGTCTGGTTCGGCGAGAGCATGACCGGTGGATTCCAGGTGTGTGAGCTGGACCCTAGACCTGTGGTCAGGATGTGGGCTAGCCCAGTGCCTAGAAGGGGCATAAAGGCCTGGAGTGGACTCCATCTCTGCTAAGTGTGACAGATGCTGCTGAGCTGGGGGGCAGGGGCCTCGGATCCTTGACACTGTCTCAGACACAGGGTGCCTGTGGGCACGTGAGTAGGGAGGCTAGCACTGTAGGCTGTGGCATGGCCATCGCCCCTCACTCTCTCTCCTCTCCCACAGTTCGAGTACGGCGGCGAGGGCTCCGACCCTGCTGATGTGGCCATCCAGCTGACCTTCCTGCGCCTGATGTCCACTGAGGCCTCCCAGAACATCACCTACCATTGCAAGAACAGCGTGGCCTACATGGACCAGCAGACCGGCAACCTCAAGAAGGCCTTGCTCCTCCAGGGCTCCAACGAGATCGAGATCCGGGCCGAAGGCAACAGCCGCTTCACATACAGCGTCACTGTTGATGGCTGCACGGTGAGTCCCCCTGAGCCTCCCACAGAGCCCCCTTCTCTGGGCTTTGGTTCCTTGGGCAGTGCCCTCTCTCCATCACTGCCACCTAGTAATGCCTCCCTCCCCTCATCTCCACCTCACCCCAGAGTCACACTGGAGCTTGGGGCAAGACAGTGATCGAATACAAAACCACCAAGACCTCCCGCTTGCCCATCATCGATGTGGCCCCCTTGGATGTTGGCGCCCCAGACCAGGAATTCGGCTTCGACATTAGCCCTGTCTGCTTCCTGTAAACTCCCTCCAGCCCAACCTGGCTCCCTCCCACCCAATCCACTTTCTCCCCTCCCTGGAAACAGACAAACAACCCAAACTAAACCCCCCAAAAGCCAAAAAATGGGAGACAATTTCACATGGACTTTGGAAAATATTTTTTTCCTTTGCATTCATCTCTCAAACTTAGTTTTTATCTTTGACCAACTGAACATGACCAAAAATCAAAAGTGCATTCAACCTTACCAAAAAACAAAAAAGAATAAATAAATAACTTTTTAAAAAAGGAAGCTTGGTCCACTTGCTTGAAGACCCATGTGGGGGTAAGTCCTTTTCTGCCCGTTGGGCTTATGATCCCCCAACGCTGCCCTCTCTGTTCCTTTCTCCACCCCACCTTGGGGCCTCCCCTCCACTGCTCCCCCAATCTAAGTCTCCCTGAAAGACACAAGAAACACTGCATTGTCGGCCAGCAACCAAAGACAATGCTGAAACACCTAAGTGGCCTCACCCCCAGCCCACCCAGCACGGCCAAACCCTGGAGGGACCTGGGGTTCTCAGACTGCCAAAGAAGCCTTGCCATCTGGCATCCCTATGGCCCCTGCAACATACCCCTCTTCGTTTTTGAGGGGTCCTTGCTGGGGAAGCCACCAATCCCCAACCAGGTTTGGAGGAGAGTCAGGAAGGGCCACGACAGAGCGGAAACATCGGATTTGGGGAAAGCGTGTCGATCCCTGTGCCAAATGGCTGGGTGGGAGAGATTGTTCTGTGCCTTGTGTAATTGTGTTGCTGAAAGACTACCTCGTTCTTGTCTTTATGTGTCACCGGGGCAACTGCGTGGGGGCGGGGGTGGGGGCAGGGTGGAAGCCCGCCCCATTTTATATCAAAGGTGCTACATCTCTGTGATGGGGATGGGGTGGGGAGGGAATCACTGGTGCTATAGAAGTTGAGATGCCCCCCCAGGCCAGCAAATGTTCCTTTTTGTTCAAAGTCTATTTTTATTCCTTGATATTTTTCTTTCCTTTTTTTTTTTTTTTTTTTTTGTGGATGGGGACTCGTGAATTTTCTAAAGGTGCTATTTAACATGAGGGGAGCAGGTGCCTCGGCTCCAGCTCTCC